TAAGCCTTATCATTTACCTGTTGAACTTGAACATAGAACATTTTGGGTTATTAAAGAGTGTACAAGTATTTGAACAAAAATGAAAAATGTAGAAAATGATAGTTGCAAAAATTGTAAGAAATTTGAAATGAAGCTTACGAGAATGCTATGATTTACAAAGAAAAGGATTTTAAGATCAAAAGATTACAATGGAGGATTTTAAGGTTGGCCAAAAGGCTTTGTTTTATTATTCTCGCCTTAGGTTTTTTTTAGGGTAAGCTTTGTTCTCATTGAATTGGTCAATTTTTGGTTACTAATATGTTCCATATCGTACAATTGAGATTCAAAATTAAGTATGGATAAAAGATCTGCTATGAATGGACATTGTCTTAAACATTATTGTGAGGGATACCAGAGCAAAGAAGTGGGGTGTGTAGTTCTATTTCTGCCACGTGATTAACTTAAGAGTCGTTATGTCTAGCCAAAGATAATAAACAAAGACGTTTTTTGGGAGACAACTCAAGTGTTTTAATTTTATTTTGCGTGTTTTGAGTTTTTTTGTGTATTCTAAATTAGTTTCATGCCCTTGTTTTTGGTGTTTTGATGGAAGGTAAATTTCTATGGTTTGATGAAGGAAAGTGGGAACGGTTTATAGGTTTGACCACACCTAAAAGTGTGCTGAGATTGATGAGAGAGTGAAAGATTAGGAAAACTTATCAGAACGTAAACCTCCTTAGTTGTGACCATGGATAAATCGCACTTAAAGGCTTAATGAAGTGGTGAATATTAAAAGTTAAGCAAATCTAAAAAATTTGTTAGGCGTGATCATTCTTAAAGAATATTTACATTATGGAAAATAGCATTAAAAAAGAGATATTTTATTTGGAATTTTTAAAAATTAAAATTTTGTTTATTTATTATTTTCCTAAATCCCCAATTAATCCGAGATTTTATTTGGAATATTTATTATTAATTATTCCCGTTCACACTCCAGCGCCGCCCTTGGATTCAAAGTTTAGCACTGCTGCTCGAGTTCAGCACTATTCGGACCGCCATCCGCCGCTTACGATGCGGCTACCGGTAGTCTCCTCCACTCAACCTTGAGCCGTGCTGCCCCGCCTAGGTTGAACTCGACATCATTGGCCCTGCTCGGTGTCCAGCATCGCCGCTCGACCTCACCAGTTCACCGTTTCTCTTGTTGTTCGATCGCACCATTCACCGCCACAGTGAAGCCACTGCCCACTCCTCAACATCCAATCGATGCACATTCGTCTCCCGGTCCTCAACGTCTGGTCGTCATCTGACCCTAGTCGTTCTGACGCACTGATGCCATCCGATGTCCACTGCTTTTTTCTGTCTCACCACTTCGTTTTTTCGAGGAAGTTATCATATATTAGTCTCTACTATTTTCTATACTACATTGATAATTTCTGAGATTAGTGTGAATTTGGTAGATTTTGAATTGGGCAAGTTTTTGTCAAGTTTATTTGATGAAATTGATGAATGCTTGATAGATGTTTGGAAATGATATGTTGGTTTTGAAATTTTTGATTGAAGTCTGAATTTCTATGCCTGTTATTGGTGTCGGGACATAATTGCTAGTGTTTATGCTCTTTGGAGTTCATTAACTTGTAATTTGGTTGTTGATTTCTCTTGCATTCAGACAACATGGGAAAAGTATGTGCTTTCCTACGGCATCTCTAAAGGTTCCAATTGCCACCGGTCTAAAAACCACTTCAAAACTTGGAAGACAAGGAATAACTAAGGCATCGATCTCAAAGGGCAAAATATCAATCTCTATGTTTGTCCTTGAATTGCTTGAGCAATTTGATGTCATGCAACAAGATGTTATTAGAATTCGCTTGCTGGATAAAGTGTTTAAGCTTTCTTTAGCCTAACTTAATTTATATCTAGGTTTTGTATCTTTAGATGAATGATTGGTTGCGCAGTCAATCAAATAATTCACTTACTTTGTGATCACAAATTAATGTGATACATGGGAAGGGACCGTCTCCACATGGATTGCATAATTGAATCTTTTGTATTCTAATATAATAAATTAAAAGGGGGATTTTTCTCTTATTATCTAATGAAGACAAAATGATAAAACAATAAAAATAACGGAAAATTGGTTACCGATGAGATGTCTGGCTTAAGGGATGATGCAGTTATGGTACTTGTGTTTTATCATCAATTGAATAAAGTTAGTTCTTATTAAACTATCAATAAATTGGTTATAGTTATCAACAAGCTCTGACAACTAGTTTTTCCTTATAGTGTAGGTAATTTAGGTACACCTGTTAATTATCCTTATTAAGCTAATAAACCTAGGTACGCTAATAGTAAACATTACCTAATCACATTCTAATCTAGAAAAATACAATTCAAAATAATTACTACCTAAGAGGAGCAATTAAATGTGATTGCCTAACCCCTGGAAATGAACTATTCAACACGGTTGTCACCTATTCAAGTGCGAATATAATTATGGATATCCTACTTGAATTGACTTTAGATTATAAGACCAATTTAAATATTTTTGTAAAAATATCCAATTAATTTAACAATCACAAACACTATTATCAGAATTAGACAAATATTGACAATTAAAAAAACTTTTATAAAGAAAGTCAAGAATATTCAGAACACAAGAACCAAAATATTGTCATATCTCAAATCAACAAAGTATCTACTTCATAATCAAATAGGAAAGAAGAATAAAGATAAAGTCATAGTTTGAAGGAAAATCTTCTTTATCGATTCGCTCACGCGCGATCTATGAATCTGTCAGTCTCCTGCTCCTACGCGTGTCTGCACTGCTTTTGGCCATCCTCTTCGTCTCTGCATGTAGGTTTCTCTTTTTTCTTATGGTTTTGCCCTATTTTTGTACCAATTGAGATTTTGGGCCTTCGATTAAATTCTTATGTCAGAAGGGTGGGGTTAGTCATGGCCATGACTAACTTGATTGTCCAAGGCTGATTTTTTTTCCTTTATTTTTCTCCAAATTCACCAATTTTGCTTTATCTCTTCTGCATGTTGGAAATAAACAATACCCACAGAAATTAGGTAGAATCCAATCAAAATCAATCAAATATCGCATATGATATGAACATAAAACGCATGCATTTTCGAGTGATCAATTCTCCCCACACTATATCATTCGTGCTTTCAAGCATGGATTTGAAAGGTTGTCATCTCTTACACGTTTTCATCTCTTCGACAATCCTTTTTTTTCTCTTACATGTTGTCATCTCTTCAGTTGGTCTTTTCTCCAAATGCTTTGTTAATGCAATTTTTTGTTTATTCTCATCACCAAATTCAAAGGTTTCTTGCACTACAAGATTGATAATATTAATAGAATATACCTATTCAGATTCAACAGGACATTTGATGGGAATAAAAATATCAAAATGAAATTATTCTCCATCAAACTCCAAGGTAGGTGTGCCTTTTTTGACATCTATCTTTGTTCCTGCAGTGCACATAAAAGGTCTTACTAACAAAAAAAGCGGTGGATTAAAGCAATGTGCATCATGCATATCCAGAATATAAAAATCAACACAAAGAATTTAATCATTCACTTGAACTAGTACATCTTCTATCATAACATCAGGATAAGCATTAGTTCGATCAACAAGTTGAATAATAATTCTTGTTTTTTTTAGAGGCCCTAGATTTAAAAAGTCGTATTGATTGTGGCATGGCATTAATGGAAGCTCCTAGATCTAGTATAGCCTTCGTTATCTCATTTTTCCAATCTTACAAGGGATAGAAAACATACCTGGATCACCTATTTAAGTCGTACCTTTCTTTTAAGAACAACATAAATGTTCTCACCCGCTATAATGTACTCATCTCCTTGAAACTTCTCTTGTTGATGCACAGTTCTTTCAGAAATCTTGCATACTTGGGGATTTGGTTGATAGCTTTAAGGAGCGGATATTAAGTTCCACCTTCTTGAATATCTTCATCATCTCCCTTCCCTTGTTTGCCTTTTGTGGTTTCTTCAAACCTGTCGGGAAAAGAAGCCGATTTAATTGTAGTATGAAGAATATAATTAGGATGTACCTTTTCGTGGATCTCAAGTTTCCTTTCAATCTTCTTTTCAATTTGCTCTTCGCTTTGCTCATTTGAGATAGGAGATGGACCATCCAATTTCTTCCTATTAGGGAGTGTTATAACACTTATATTCTTTGGATTAGGTCAGGAAAAACATTCAATCATCGTGTCATTGGAAATAGTGATGGCACTGACGTTTGCTGGATTTGGCTCAGGTTGAGAGGGCCACTTTCCTCTTTCATGTAGTTGTCTTACCTCCTCTGACACTTGATTAATCTGACTTTGTAACTTTTCAACGGTCAATCTCATCTCTTGCTGGAACTTTTTTATCTCTTGTTGAAATTGCAGGGTAGTGGTAGCTATAAACTTCACCAAGTCTTCCAAAGATGGATTAGAGTTGCTTGTGGGTACTTGGGGCAATTTTTTCTCATAGAAACAAGGATTTTGTATATGCTGTGTAGCTCCAAATGGTTGAGGACCATTAATTTGTTGTGCATTTTCATAAAACAGGTTCGGATGAGCTCTCTAGCCTGGATTGTATGTGTTGGAGATTGTACACTATATGTCTACTCGCACCATTATTTTCAGCATTTACATCCACTACATAGCCTTCTTGGAGGGTCGGGCATGCATCTGTAAGGTGACCTGCACTTGTGCATATTCCACATGCTTTAACTTAGACACAAGGGTTAGATTTTTGTACGACCATTTTGCGAACAGAGCTCGTCAACTCAGAAAATTGTTGTTGCATGGATTGGATAGAATGGTCATTACTGTTTCCGCTTGTCTATCCAACATCCCTCGAACCAATCTGCTTTGTGTTCTCAATCATCGTAACAATAAGATCCTAGGCTTTTGCTGGCATGTTATTCACTAGAGCTCCACCACTCGCAGCGTCGATAATGTTCCTGTCCATCAGTGACAAACCATCATAGAAGTATTGAATCAATAATTATGGATGAATTTGATGTTGTGGATATTTAATGATAAGCTTATTAAATTGCTCCCAATATTCATGGAAAATTTCACCTGATTCTTGCTTAATACCTCATATTTCATTCCTCATAATCGCAATTCTGGAAGCCGAAAAGTAATTCTCCATAAATATCTTCTTCATGTTATTCCACGTGTCGATGCTTCCAGGTGGGAGATAATAGAGCCAATCCTTTGTTGCATCTTTGAGTAAGAATGGGAAACCTCTGAGCTTGATCTGCTTATTTGTAACACCTGGAAGTTTTATGTTGGAGTATACCACGTCAAATTATTGCAAGTGCTTGTGCAGTTCTTCGCCTACAAGTCCATGAAAAGAAGGCAGTAAATGAATCAAGCCAGATTTTAGTTCAAAGAAGTAGCGTTATTTAGAATTGGAAAGTTAATGCATAAGGGCTATTGCATCAAGTTACGAGCAACCAACTCCTTTAAAGTGTGGTTATCCTCAGCCATGACAGTTTCTTGATTACTTTCAGAGTCGCTATAGCTAGGGATTTTGAGGTGGCTCAAATAAAGCTAGATTTCCAACTTAAGGAGCTTTTCGTTGTCTAGATTCCTTTCGCAACTTTTGCTCAATCTTTTCGATCTCAATATTGAATATTAGTTCACCTATACGAGAAAAACAAGGCATAAACATGAGGATATAGGAAAATAAAGCAAATAAATAACAAAAAATAGTAAAACAAAGCGCCAATCCCTGGAAATGGCGCCAAAAAATTGACCGGTTGTAGGGTCAATTAAATAATTCACCTACTATGTGATCATAAATTAATGTAATACAGGGGAAGAGATTGTCTCCACAAGAATTGTGTCACTCTTTTTTATTCTAATGTAATAAATTAAAAGGGGGATTTTTTTATTATCTAATGAAGACAAAATAACAAATCAATTAAATTAACGGAGAACTAGCTATCGACGGGATGTCTTGCTTAAGGGATGATGCAATTATAGTACTTGTGTTTTATCATTAATTCAATAAACTTAGTTCTTATTTATGATAAAAACATATATTTTCATATATTTTATAATTAAATTATAAAATATAAGCAATATTTTGGATAAATATCTAATAATTTTGGTGTGATCTTGATTTGTGCTTGGTTGGAGTAATTTAAAATAATCACGCCATTCTCCGGATCAAACAAGAGAAAATCGTGTGATTGATTGTACGCACTAAGGGAAGTCTTGATTTAAGAGGATGGTGGGGTGATTTTAGGCTTAAAGATGGAACGAGACTTGATTGAAGGCATGAAAATGAAAAAGAGCAATTAAAGGAGTTAATTGAATATTTACCGTCTATAAAAAAGGGGATTAAGGCTTTAGATGGGATATCATGATTTACACATGCATTTCATATCTCGAGGATTTGGAAGCAATAGAATGAGAAGAGGCGCCGGAAGATCGTCATTATCATTATTTATCCCTTTATTTATTTAGTATGAGTAGCTAGTTTCTCTTGTTCTAATCCAAGGTTGAATTTAGATTTTAGATTCGAATTTTTAAGATTATGTTTTGATTTGAATTGAATCTTGTTAATTAAATTGATATTTATATGATTTTTGTGATGCCTGCCCATAATTGTTTTATTTAATCTTTTATCGCGGCCTGATTTTAGATTGGTTTAGCAATTGTGTGCCAATCGAACATTTGCATCCGTAATTGTCCACTTGTTTGATAAAGTGGTAAATAGGTTAACAAGCTTAGCCTAGAAATTGCATGATCAAATAATTTAATCTTTTCGTAATTGATTGAATATTTGAATTGGGTTTTTCTCGTACTCTTTTCAATTGAAGAAATTAATTTATGGTCGTACCTAAATTATTTCTTTGATTAGGGATGGGGTCAATCGGTCGTACCATTTCCGCCAATAAAGTAAGGAAAAATTGGGCATTATGATCGTATCTAATGCCTATAACCAATTTATCAATTTAATAACAAGATTAGTTACAACCAATGATAGGATCTTTAATCCGGTTTTTTATTCACTCATTGGACTAAAAATTTAATCTCTTTGCAATCTAACTTTTCGTCGCTTATTTTAATTACCTTAGTTGAAATTGCTAATCTCTCCCCCCTAATACTTGAAATTGTGATAAAACAAGAATTAAATCTCACAGTCCTTGTGGATCGACCTCGGTACTACTTGCTTTGCCGCAATTGTGGTGTTGGAGTATTTTTATTGTAAACACCAAGGCTACCAATTAAACTATCAATAAATTGGTTATATTTATCAACAAGGTCTGACAACTAGTTTTTCCTTACAGTGTAGGTAATTAAGGTATGTCCGTCAACTACCCCTAATTAAGCTAATAAACCTAGATACGTCCATATAAAATATTGCCTAATCGCATCCTAATATAGAAAAAACCCAATTAAAAAAATTACTACCTAAGAAGAGCAATTAGATTTGATTGCCTAACCCTAATCCCTGGAAATGAACCATTCAACAAGGTTGTCACCTATTCAAGTGCGAATATAATTACGGATATCCTACCTGAATTGACATTAAATTATCATACAAATATAAATGTCGGTACTAGAATATCCAATCAATCTAACAATCCCAAATCCTATTCTCAAAATTGGACTAATATTGAAAATAAAAAAGAACTTTTACAAAGAAAGTCAGGAATCTTCATAACACAAGAACCAAAACATTATCATCCCTCAAAACAACAAAGTATCTACTCCATAATCAAATAACAAAGAACAATAAAGAATAATAAAGTCATAGTCTGAAGGGAAATCTTCTCTATCAATTCGCTCATGCGCGATCTATGAATATGTCAGTCTCTTGCTCATACGCGTGTTTGCACTGCTTCTGGCCGTCCTCTCTGTCTCTGCGTGTAGCTCTCTCTTTTTTCTTATAGTTTTTCCATATTTTTGTAGCATTTCGGCTTTGGGCCTTCAATTAAATTTCCACGTCAGAAGGGTGGGGTTAGTCACGGCCATGACTAACTTGATTGTCCAAGGCTGATTTTTTTCGTTTATTTTTCTCCAAATTCACCAATTTTGCTTTTTCTCTCATGCATGTCGGAAATAAACAATATGCACAGAAATTAGGTAAAATCCAATCAAAATTAATCAAATATCGCATATGATATGAAAATAAAATGCATGCGATTTCTAATTATCAATGAACTTCAGGATGAAACTTTCAGTACTGTTGTACGTGCTTTTGCTGAGCCATTTGCTCTTTCATTTGGGAGATTGTGGAGTAAATTTTCAGTAGATGAGAAAACTTATTTTGATGATAATATGACTGCCCATAAACTGAAGGGCCATGCCTTTGTTATATCCAACATTCTATCGCTTAATCTATTTTAGGGCGAATGGGTACCTCTAGTATTGTGACTAAAACGGAGTTTTTCTTTTATGGTGCATAACTGACAACATCAGGGTTAATCTAGGTTTTTGTTTGGCTATCCGATTTAGTGAAGTTTTTTTTTTTTTTTAAAAAAAAAGATTTAATTGGTCTTTCATTCGGTACTATTATTGCACTTAGTTTGAGTGTTCTTTCTAGTCTTGATGCTTCTTTTTGTTTTCAGGTTGCACCCCCCTTAAGTGGGGCGCATAGAATACTTGGACATGATGCTATTGTTTCACATGGGAATAATTAAAAAGGACAACACTAGATATCACTTTGTTCTCTAGTGGCAACGTTTGTCCCGTACGGTTGTGATGCAGTTTGATGATGACCAAGAGGAGCCCCTGCTGATGATTTTGATGAGGATGGAGTTGCTTTGAGATCCACCACTAGCCTTACCTTACAGGCATTTACTGCGGATATTGAAATATTGAAGCATGACAATGTTTAACTTCGTATCAAAGTTGTTGAGTTTAAACTAGTCAGCGGCCCTTCAAGAAAAATTGGACACTACCAAGAGTGCAACACATTTCCTCTGGGTATTTTGTAAAACACTACTTCAAATGCACATAAATTTCATTCTACTTAAAAAAAAAAAAAAAGAATAATGCACTTCATTTAGGAAAACCAACAAAATATATATGTAATAATAAATAGAAAATAAATGATAAAATAGAAGTAAAAAATTTGCAAGTTTTAATTAGGGCAGACGAAAAAAAAAATGCCTTCAATACATCTCCTTGCCTTCAATGTACATCTCCTTGCCTTCAATAGGTGTTTGATTTGATATTTTGAGGGGGAAAAAATTGGATGAATAGTATAAATTCAATCCAATCCCCCAAACAAACACATTATTAACGCTACTTATTTATATCTATATAAAATTTCATTCTATTTAAAAAAGAAAGACATAATACATCTCATTTAGGAAATATATATATACTTTTTCTATCGTAACTCAAAATATCATTCTTACAATTTTCGTTTGTCCTATTTAAAAGTATCTATTTTTTATTTTAGTAAAATAGATCATATATTAATACTCAAATATTTTTAAATTTTATTTAAATTACAAAAATACTATTATATATATAATTACTTTATACATAAAATCGAATGACAAAATTGTCAAAAATTTTTTACACACTTTCATTAACTAATAAAATACTTTTATTTCTTAATTTATTCTAAAATTTCAAAAGAATATGTTAAGTAGGACTCGGACGGAGTATGTAATAATAAATAAATAAAGAAGATAAAATAAAAATTTAAAATTTGCCAGTTTTAATTAGAGAAATAAAAATAAAAAATAAAAAATGCCAGCAATAAAAATCTCCCCAAAAATCTTTAATTGACATTATAGAAGTATTAAATGTGAATTTCAGTAACGAAGGATTTTTGGGCTTCAAATATAGAGATAAGAATAACTGATACATCCATTAGATTAGAAGAGCCTAATCCGATGCCGAAACCACTGTAACTAATACTTTAAATTATACTAATTCACCAATAAGTTTAATAAACATTTAGTCATTTAATCATTTCATTTGTCAAAATTATGTTGTTATTATTAATATTATTATTATTATTATTATTTTTGTTCACTAAACTATAAATTTATGATAAATTATACATCCTCTTAAATTTTAGTAAAAATGCACAAAATATTATGTGTTTTATTTATTGCATTAAACTTTCTTATGTTAATGGAA